TGGACTATAGGAACACATTTATTTATAGCTCCTTTTCAGCTGAGATCATTTCATTCTACCTCGGAGGGCCTTTTATTCATGTACATAATGCCTTCCAGGATACACCTCTAGTTGCTTACAAGCCTATTTTTTCCTCAACACATTGAATCTACAAAGAAGTGATCAGATTATATCACAAAAAAATTCATTCTTCACCCAAACCACATTAAATCAGTGAAGCGTTCAAGGCATATTTATGCTGGTGAGAAAATAGATTCCTAAATGTATTTCATCTAAACACTACTGCCTTCTTAAGCAGCCGCAGCAAAATTGAATTACTTGTATTACCTTACAAATTCAGTAAAGAGGAAAATGTGTATCATGGTTGTTCTTCTGTGGTGTACTAACGCTTATTTGATATATAAAAGCATTTGATTCACAAATGACTTGAGCTTATAGATTCAATTGAAGTAGATCCCTTTATACCTAGTCACACTTTTTTTATGTTCAGTCAGGTAAATCAAAGCTGACTTCCAAGCCTGTAACGTGCAACGAATAGACCTTATAATATCTTTTTAAAAGACTCATGTTTCCTGTGTTTGTCTGCACTTGTCTGTAAGTATATAGATTTAAATGTTTAAAAATCATTATACAATTACTAGGATATATCGTAAAGTATTTTAATATATGCAATAATACAACCTTTTAATATTTGCAGTTATTTAGTTTCAAATTTGTTATGTAATCTTTACAAATCCTGTATACATTAAAATATGTTATGCGTTCTGTATATGTATTCTTTATTCCTTACAGTATGAGCTAATGTGCTTTCTAGATATTCCACTGAAATCAAGTGGCTGACTAATTGTTTGGAGGACTGGCAGTACCTCAGTATTCACTAGTTAAAAAATGGACAGTAACAAAAAATCAGTCATTTGCTCATAATAGCTTTTAAAGTATTGCATGTTAATACATATTTCAAATTATTAAAATGTAATTTATAAGGTCATATTTAACAGAATGTGTTTAACAACTTTAAAATTAAATCAGTTCATTAAATGAATACTATAGAGTTATGAATACAAACCTGTAGACGCTATAGTATCCCTGTCCCTATCTAGCTTAGTTCTCCCCCATTTGACATAAAATTAAGAATATAAAGGTTTTACTGACCTTTTTCCTGCACCAAGACTCCCTTAGGTGCTACTTACCTCTCCGACTTATAAAGGAAAATTTGGGACCTGATGTGTACTCACAGTAAGTGCAGTGCAGTTTCAATGCTTTCATATAGGCTTCACATGGCCAAGTTTTACTAAGTCAGTGCAGCAGAAGCACCTACAGTTCCTGTCAGTATGATTGTCAGAATGACTTTCAGAGATGGTACCCGTGTCACATGCTACAGTAGAAAGGCAGAGAGAGATTAGGGAGATTAATGTGTGGAGAAAGTCGTGGTGTAGGAAGGTGTTTGGGCTTTTTAGAGGATTATCTTGAAATAAACATTTAAAGTCATGTTTCAGTGTTTGCAAATAACACAACACTCAGTAAAGTAATAGAATTTGAGCAGGGTATTAATTAAATGGCAGATAACATTTTCTGTAGATAAATGCAAAGTTATGAATTTTGCGGTAAAGAATGCATTAGCAACTTATGCCTTAAATGGTAGTGAATTAGGGATAACAGCGTATGAGAAGGATTTGTTATGGACAACAAAATAGGCAACAATGTGCAATGTCAATCAGCAGTTCTTAAGGCCAGTAATTTATTGTCATGCATAAAAAGGGGCATTCATTTTTCAGATGAAATATAATTTTGCCTCTTTACAAATCAATGGTAAGACCACACCTTGAGTAGGCTGTACGATATTAGGCACATGTTTTAAAGAAGAATATTATGGCACTAAAAAAAGTGAAGAGATGGGCTACAAAATTAATAAAAAGGAATGGAACATTTTAGTTATGAACGGTTAAGAAATTTAAATCTGTTTTGTTTAGAAAAAAAAAGTGCCTCAGAGGGGATATGATAGCATTATACAAATATATTTGGGGCCAATACAAACTGTTGTCTGGAAATCTATTTATAAACAAGACTATACAAAAGACACCAGACTACGCATTTAGACTGGAAGAAAGGAGATTTAGACTAAAGCAAAGGAAAAGATGGGTAATAGCTTCCTGATCCAAGGTGAGATCTGATTGCCATTCTGAGGTCCAGAAGGATTTTTTCCTAGTTTGCTGTAAAATTAGAAAGTGCTTCAAACTGTTATTTTGTTTTTATTATTTTGGATCAAAAGCAAAAACACATGTGAGAAAGGCTGAACTTGATGGACGTGGTTCTCTTCTCAGCCAACTATGTAAATATGTAATGAAATTCAGCCATCCCAATTTTTTTACTTTTAATTTTTATTTTCAGACACTATGGTTCAGCCAAAAAATGTTTTTGATTGTGCACAAGTCTAATGTAAATCATAACTTAATTATATCTTGATGTTATGGTTGCAATTTTTTTTAGTACTTAGTTATAAATATCACAGACTTGCAACATCTCTGCCTGGCTGTTGTTTAAAGGTAATTGCAAAAAAAGTTGAAGAGTAACAAACAAATCCATAGAGTATTTTGGCACAGAGAATCGTTTTCACGCCAAATTATATAAAAATTTATATTTATCTCCAAGCAAAAGTCGTGTCAGTTACTATTCTTCAATTATATTGTCTTGAACGATTAAAAAACAAACGTTTCACATAAAAATTACAAATACAACTTAAATTCACAGGAACAAAAGGTCCTAAAATTATTTACCATAGATGACCACACCATTTCAATACATTCAGCAGATAGGGAGGATGAGTGATAGCACTGCAAGTAATAATCATAAAATATTGTGATCAACATATATTCACTTTTATAAAATCTACCTCAATTTCTTGAAAGAGAGTCTACAAAAATGAAAAGCTATATTCATTTTTAGTAAGCTGTACAACTAGTAATGCCTTTAGGGTTTTAGAAATACTTATAAGCAAGACATTTCACCATTTTTATTTATCTATTTTTGTCATATTTACTGTATTTGAGAAAAACAATGTTTTTTTGCTTTCATACTATCATTTCCGACCTGCAGGAAATTTAGCTGTTTAACTCATTCTAAACAACAAAGAAATTTATTTTTGTTAACCCAGGTATTTTTATACTCCCAAAACAACAAATACATTTTTTTTTTAACCCAGGTATTTTTATACTCCCAATTTCTATTACCTAGTCAAAGAAATGTCTGTGTAGTTGTTTGACAGTGAATTTAGGAAACAGTGATCATGCCATTCATAACACACTTTGGTTGTCATCGGTAATATTTACTTTTCTCTGAGAATGTTCATTCATACTGTGTAAATGACACCAATGGAGTTTATAGGGATATACACTATTATGGCACACCTCACAACTTTAGCAGTCTTCATGTGTTAATTCTCTATATTGTATGCTTCCTGTGAGTAGAACTATCCACACTGACATCTGTGAATTGTGTGTGCAAGAAAAATATTTATACTTACCCCACAGGCCTCAAACAATGCCAATCCTCCCTTGACCAAATATGTCTCACATAAAAAGGTTCAAGGCATACATCACTCCCATCACAGTAAAGGCTGCTAAGGGAGACTAATGTAAAGTAAAACAGTTAAAACAATTCTAGTCATATATAGACAAGTATATAGCAAAATATGGAAATGTTTAAATTAAAGGAGGAAATAGGATGAAAAATGCTGGGATGAATAGGGGAAATAGAAAATGACATGTAAAGACAGAGATTGAAGAGCTTATGAAATGCTGATTTGCTGAAGAGGTTATGAAATGCTGATTTTGAGCAGAGGATAGTGGAAAAATTAAAGAAAAGAAGAATCATTAAAACATAACAGAGAAAGAAGTAATGGAAAACTGTGTAAATTGAGACTATGAAAGGAAATGTGGAATACAAGAGGGGCTGCATACAGGGCAGTGTGACAACATATGGGGCACTGTGATGACATTAGGAATGTTGCAACATGTGGTCAAGAATTTGAGGGATAATTGATTGTGAAACATATAATTATAAGAAATGAATATATAAGATGTGAGATTATTATAGCATACACAAGACGCTGGTCACATGAAAAGGACTGGACCATTTGGAGCTCAGAAAATTATGGCAAAACATTACTATCCGAAAGCGTTATTTATTATGTATTACTTATGCCCATTCTGAATTTGACTAGCCCTACAAAACATTATTTTGGCACCAGAATGTATAGTACATACCTTTTTAGAATTTATAAAAACAAAAAACTTTTAGTAATTTATTTTAGAGAGGCAAGCTCATATCACATCACTATACCTCTTAGAGTTCCCTGAAACTAGGAAGCTATACGGAAATGTATGATAATGCATAGAAAAATACAATTAATAATATGAATTAGTTATTAGATCAAGATCTCGTTTTTTTGTAAAGCTCTGTTATATTCAATAAGTTAATTTTTTTTTTCATGACAACCTGTATTTTCATCAGTTATTAGCTGTCACCACCTAGTTATATTAACTTATACATGGGATACAGGAAGGTCATTAATGTGGCTCCTTAGCATATTCCTTTATAGCAAGTCTCTGATGGAGATACATAAATAACATTTTATTTGGAAAGGTGCACATTCAGATTTTCAAATTTATTTTCTGATTAAAAATCAATACAAGGTGATCTAAAATGTACTTTGAAAGAAATAATAATGAAACAAATGTTTGTTTTTTACTTTTTTTTAATTTAACAAAAATATTTATACTTTTTTTTTAATGGTAGATCATACCAAATGCATATACAGCAAAAATGTGTGTTTAGCATACTATTTATTTTTTGATCTGTCTCTTCCAACATTGCCATATATACTTGGTCTACAGGTGATACTCGAAAAATTAGAATATCGTGCACAAGTTCATTTATTTCAGGGGAAACTAATATATGAGATAGACGCATTACATGCAAAGCAAGACAGTTCAAGCCAAGATTTGTCATAAATGCGATGATTATGGCTTACAGCTCATGAAAACCCCAAATCCACAATCTCAGCAAATTAGAATATTGTGAAAAAGGTGCAATATTCTAGGCTCACAGTGTCCCACTCTAATCAGCTAAGTAAGCCATAACACCTGCAAACAGTTTCTGAGCCTTTAAATGGTCTCTCAGTCTGGTTCAGTAGGAATCACAATCATGGGGAAGACTGCTGACCTGACAGTTGTGCAGAAAACCATCATTGACACCCTCCATAAGGAGGGAAAGCCTCAAAAGGTAATTGCGAAGGAAGTTGGATGTTCCCAAACTACTGTATCAAAGCACATTAATAGAAAGTTATGTGGAAAGGAAAAGCGTGGAAGAAAAATATGCACAAGCAGCAGGGATGACCGCAGCCTGGAGAGGATTGTCAGGAAAAGGCCATTGAAATGTGTTAGGGACTTTCACAAGGAGTGGACTGAGGCTGGAGTCAGTGCATCAAGAGCCACCACACACAGATGGATCCTGGACATGAGCTTCAGATGTTGCATTCCTCTTGTCAAGCTGCTCCTGAATAACAAACAACGTCAGAAGCGTCTTACCTGGGCTAAAGAAAAACAGACCTGGTCTGTTGCTCAGTAGTCCAAAGTCCTCTTTTCTGATGAGAGCAACTTTTGCATCTCATTTGGAAACCAAGGACCCAGAGTCTGGAGGAAGAATGGAGAGGCACACACTGCAAGATGCTTGAAGTCCAGGGTTAAGTTTCCACAGTCTGTGTTGATTTGGGGAGCCATGTCATCTGCTGGTGTTGGTCCACTGTGCTTCATTAAGTCCAGGGTCAACACAGCCGTCTACCAGGAGATTTTGGAGCACTTCATGCTTCCTTCCACAGACGGGCTTTATGATGCTGACTTCATTTTCCAGCAGCACCTGCCCACATTGCCAAAGGCACCAAAGCCTGGTTCAATGACCGTGGGATTACTGTGCTTGATTGGCCAGCAAACTCACCTGACCTGAACCCCATAGAGAATCTATGGGGCATTGCCAAGAGAAAGATGAGAGACATGAGACCGAACAATGCAGAAGAGCTGAAGGCCACTATTGAAGCATCCTGGTCTTCCATAACACCTCAGCAGTGCCACAGGCTGATAACTTCCATGCCACACCGCATTGAGACAGTAATTGCTGTAAAAGGGGCCCAAACCAAGTACTGAGTCCATATACATGCTTATACTTTTCAGAGGTCCAATATTGTTCTATGTACACTCCTTGTTTTATTGATTTCATGTAATATTCTAATTTACTGAGATTGTGGATTTGGGATTTTCATGAGTTGTAAGCCATAATCATCGCACTTATGACAAATCACAGCTTGAACTATCTTGCTTTGCATGTAATGCGTCTATCTCATATATTAGTTTCCCCTTTAACGTTGCATTACTGAAATAATTTAACTTTTGCACGATATTCAAATTTTTCGAGGATCACCTGTATAGTGTTTACTAATATTGAGCGTTAAAAGGACACCTTGGGCAGCAATACAATGTTAAAGGATTCTTCCATCCCTTACAATTAATGAGTAGTTTTTACCTCACAATGCCTGATTTGGCATACCTAGCTGGGTCCACCACCTTAATAAATGATTTAAAAAGGTTTTATTAGTTACCTGACATCCAGTACCAGGGGAAGCTCCCCATAGCTAATATATTTTACACTGTATTTAGTTTATTTGCCATATAAATTGTACTATTTATGTGATTTCATTCTGTTATCTATATTTTATTACACTATGTTATTATACTAATTGGGGTGTAAGCTCAGTTGTAAAACAAATGAATTATTATTTAGTTGTTTTTAACTCATGCACGACTATGCATATGTTGGTTATGATGACCAACCTGATGTGTCGCGCTAATCCTTCACAGGTTATTTATAACCATGAATATCTTGAAGAATCTATAATGTTATCATAATTAAAACATATGGAATAGAAAACATGTGCATGTTGTGTCCTAGAAAATGAGTTTTCTTTTATGAATAAAATTTATGAATTTTATGCTCTATAACTAGTAATATGCTGTTTCCAGCACAGATATATCAATACAAAATAGCATTTCCCCTGGAATTGTTCTAGTACTTTATGGAACACCACAAACTTGTTGAGGTTATGAATGATTCAATGCCTATTATACTAGCGTAAAGAAGATGGATAATGATGTAAAGTATTCACAACAGTATATATTCTATAGTGCCAGGAAAACAAAGCCATTCTCCCTCGAGCTTCCATTCCCGCAAGTGCTAAAGGGGTTAAAACCCCTTCAGTCACTTTCCTGAATGCAGCGCCGATGTCCCTCAGCGCTGGGTCAGGCTCCGCCAACACTCCTCCCCCATCAGCCGGCAGGGGAGACATAATGGGCAATGCTATTAGGATTTCCCCAGAGGAAAGCATTAACCAATGATTTCCTATGGGGTTTCCGGTGAAGCCGGAAGTCTTCATGCATAATGTGAGGATGTCCAGTGTCATTTAGGTGACCAAAAGTAGAGGAAGAGTTAACCCTAGCAAGTACCACTGTAGGGTTAAGGGACATGGGACATTGCACCCAGACCACTTCAATGAGCTGAAGTGGTCTGGGTGCCTATAGTATCCATTTAACCCTCCAAGGCAATTATTGCAGTTTATTAAAAATTGCAATAATCACCACTGTAGGGTTAAGAGACCTGGGACACTGCACCCAGACCACTTCAATGAGCTGAAATGGTCTGGGTGCCTACAGTGTCCATTTAATCACATGAATGCTGTCATCTTGATTCCATAGCTGTAAAGTCAGATTTCTAAATGATTATGTTATGGATGGGATTTAAATCATATTTAAAACTATTACTTGTAAATCAGAGATATTTTTATCATGCATTTTGACTGGGTTTTGTATTTAACAAAGTGTATTTATTTAGTTATTTTTTACTTTCTTTATTCTTGTTCTCATTGATTCTTTTGTAATCTGTTCTCGTCTTTGTAAAAAAAACTTTGTGAACAAATCCATTCAGCTTTGTAGCTGATATTTTCACTTAAATAATTACAGTTCTTGTCTTATTTTTCTTGTTTTCTATCATTGGAAACTCCTGTTATTTATAAAGACACATTTTAACATGATTTACTTTTTTGTGTTTTGTGCACCTGGAAACCAAGATATACGTTACAATCAAGTGTGTAACTTTATATTTACTAGAAAGGGGTAAAAATGTACTCCTTGCCATCGTTTTTATGAAAGGCAATACCAATTTGTTGTTTCTTCTCCTCTCTTCTATAACTCAGTTAAGGTTAGTCCATTAAAAGCTAGACAGGTACCTCGTGAGGGTAGAATTTGTGGCTTTATTTTTTTTGCACATACTCAGAAAAGTTGGAGAATGTAATAGGATTGCTGGATTACCGTACTTCTGTGGAATGGATATCAATACCACAAGCATGTCCTGCTTAGCAGTATGTGAAATTCATCCCCAGGATGAATCAATTAATTGAATTAATTCATTGCATCCAGGATACTGAAATAAATGCTGCAAGCACATAAATTCTAAGTGATTTCAGGCTGCATTTTCAATCCTTCCTTGACAGCCTTAAGAAATGATAAGTGTCACAACACAGAAATGCTGAAAACTGGCAACTCTGTTTGTGAAAGGTCACATTTTTACAATTTTATAAAAAAAAGTGTTTAGTGGATTTTTTTTTAACAAAAAAGTTTTATTGAGTTTATGCATGCAGAAAATGAATCAAAAGCAACAAGAATAGATATCCCGAGGTACAGCATATTGAGTACATATCATTAGCCTAACATGTCTCTCATTTATACATATTAGCATACATAGTAGGTTGATTGCTTGCAGCACAGTGATTTTAGTATATAATGTCAATACCATTCACATACAGGCAGATAGTCAAATGAACACTATAGCAACATAATTTAAAATGTAACATATAGGCTATTAGCAATAAAACACAATCTCTTAGGGTTTTTAATTCCAGAGGACATCATCAACTATATAAAAAATAAATTACTTCAACTTCACCTGTAGTCAGTATGCATGTCCTATAATGCCTTTATTCTTTTTTTTTAGCTGTAGTTCAAATAAGCAATGTGTGCCATTATCACAAGCACATGAACCAGCCCCAGCCCTAGCCATAAGGTTGATCATTTTCTTTCTGTTCTTCAATACTAAATGGCTGTTGGTTCCTTCTCTCTCACGGTTATTAGGTGTGACGTTCATTTTGAGGACAGAGGCTTACTAAAAAAAAAAAAAAAAAAAAAAAAAAAAAAAAAAGAGATAGCGATATGCCATGCATATATATGTCAAAAATCAAATGTAACAGATGAAAATCGTATCAGAAAAAAAGCAACACATACATAGGGACACCCCAGACTCCTAAAGCACTTTAGCTTGCTGAAAAGCGTGTGAAGAGTGTGTCTTCACGCATAATTGCCAATTTGCCCTTTTAAATTTTAAAAATCCTGTTGGTTTTTTTTAAATTGAAAAAAAGGGCAAATTGGCAAACAGAATCTGCAGCATTAGTGGCATTCTATTTGTTTATAATTATCAACTTATACCAACTGCTTCTGTGGAGTTAGTAGATGAAGTCACACCACAAGACTCAGCCAGGCACCGTAATGAAAGACTTCGCAGGAATAATTTAATTAAATAAATTTATTTTCTTTAAAAAAAAAAAAATCTTTGGATCTGGTGAGTGGGTCATCAATTGCCCAATCACTTTTTACTTTTTGTTATTTTTTTTTAATACCCTTTTTTTCAAATGAATATGATTCCTTCTGCTCCCCTTTTTTACAATTTGGAAAGACCAAACCTTTCCCACATATCCAAGATGAAGCGTGAGTGATAGTCCTTCAGCGTGAATAGAAAAATGCCCATTTGCTTATAATAACTGCGTCTGTGGAGGTTGCAGGTGTAGTCAATGCAAGACTCAGCCAGACATAGAGAAACCACTGCAGTGAAATACATTTGAAAACAGGGGGTCATGAAAGGAGTCATTTAATTTATTATTATTATTATTATTATTATTATTATTATTATTAATATTCAAGCTAGATTTTAGAATACTTAAAAAAAATTCTGAAACAACTTTAACCCCTTCCCAACCTCGGACGAACTAACAACAAAAACTGTCCTTAAGGACCTCGGACGGACCTAGTACATTCACGGCATTCTTAGTACTTACCCGATTGCCGCCATTCCCC